GGTTTCGGTTTCAGGGTTTTAGGGTTTTGGGTTTAGGGTCTGGGGTCAGTGGTTCAGGGTTTAGGGCTGAGAGGGCTGAGAGGGTTTCGGAGATTCTTGCTGCCGGGGTTTGGGAGGCGTTCCTACCTTTGGGCTTTCGGGCTTTTGGATTCGGCGATTCAGGCTGGGTACTGCCCCCATGTTATTTCGAACATGTTTCTAGATGGGAGGTACCCATGTTTTAGGTTTTAGGAACGAAGGGGTCGCCTCTCTTGCAACATGTTTGTTTGTATGGCCCTGGGATTGGGGACGAAAGACGTTGGTACTCTGCCGTGACAGGTTACGACACAGCTTGATTACTTTGATTCAGGGAGCCTTCGTCATAGACGCTACGCCCTCTGAGTTTGAGAGTGGCGGGTTTCAAGCTGCAGGCCAGACAGGAGGCTAAGCTAGGTTCGAGGGAAGCAGTGACTTGGTGTTGGGTATTGCCGGACTTGTCTTAAGTGCCAGGGTATATCTCGTAGCCTCCGGCGTGTTCAGCAGTGAGCATTGCGGGGCGCGGTGATACACTATGTTCCCTTCGGCTGCCGCTTGAAACTTGTAGTGCTTGCTTTTGGGTATCCTTGTCCATCTATAAAACATCATATTTACTAGCCTAGCACCGGCAAACCCTCTGAGGTCCTTGCCACTCGAAACCTCCTGTCAAAACCCGTGGGAACCGCGTGTGACCTGTTTGAACAAACCGTGTAAACTAACCCTTATTGAACCCATGTAAGAAGCCCTGAAGGAGCCCTTCAAAGCCTCTGCGGCTCCATTTGCAGGGCCCATGTAAGAATCCCTACAGGGGCCCTAGGCGCAAAAGCCGTACGGAACCTTTGAACGCAGCGAGGTTCGAGTTCCGAGCATGCTGCGGCAACTGCTGGGAAGCCAGCTTGCGGAGGAAAAAAGACTCACGGAGTGTATCATGGGGTTTAGGGGGGTTAAGGGTTTAGGGGTTTGAGGGTTTGGGGGTTTAAAGGTTTGGGATTTAGGTCAGGTTCATGGGGGTCGGAATACTTAGTAAGTGTTCGTCATATTAGTCCCAGAATACCACAAAATCTTACTTGAACCCCAGCTTTCGCTTTGTCTCAGCAAGGGTGGATCCTGCAAATCCCAAAAACGTAGACCCCCTAAACCCTAATCCTTACACCCAAAATCCTCAAGCCTTAGAAACGATGTGAAGGAGTAAGGGCTTGAGATCATGACGTCGCAGAATTCTGGATGCTACAGCGGAGTGTAAGTGGGCGAATACCTCGTCAAATACGCAAGACGAGCTCCGTGGACCTTTGGGGAGATCCTCTTGTGTTTCAGTCTTTCGGGTCAGAGCTTCTTTGGGAAGGTGCTGCCGCTTGGGCATCTTGTTGCCAGCCAGAATCCTGGGCTCAACCGCAGTAGTGATGAATTTGTGGGGTGTCCGTCAGCAACCAAATTTAAGCTCAGATCTTGTGCTACAGAATTTCGGTTCACTCACCTTGTCAGGCCTGCAGTCTCTTCAAGCACTGCTCAGACTGTCTCGCTCAACTCCCCAGACCCTCTTAGCCCTAAGAAAAGTTGTACTGGACATGGTGCTTTCCGTCCGCCTGCACGACGATGGGCGGCAGGCACTTTCCGGGAGCTTAAACCTCATCTGGAAGATTCAGAGAGAAAAGAAACTCACCATGTTGTATTATGCTCTTTCGTTATACTATACTATACTACACTAAATTCTACGATACTAGAGTAAACTAGAGTAGAGTAGACTAGACTCGATTAAGTTGTGTTGTATCACATCATTATAGTATGCTCAAATCTACTATATTGTACCATTTTGTACTATATTATGCTACAAGTATGTAGTGTAGCATAGTGTATAGTATAGGACCGCATCGTACAGCAAATAGTATCGCATAGTATGGTATGGTATAGTATAGTATTGTATACTATATCACCTAAACCCTTAACCCTAAATATTGTCCCTCAGCTCTCGAAAGCCGGCAGCCGGGAGGCAGGGCCATGAGAAGATCTTGGTGTGAACTGCGCCATCCGCCCAGGGCCAAGAGAGTTCCCGTACTTTCTGGGTGTCCCTAGGGTTTGGGATTCAGGGTTTAGGGTTTGGTGGCATTGCGCTTTTTGGGAAGCTTAGATTCAGAGTTCAGCTGCTGTAGGTCTCAGGATTTCGGGTTGAAACGTTCAGAATCCTGGGTGTGTGGGTTTAGGATCCTTGGTACAGATTCCTCCTTCACACAGAGGAGAGATCGTCCGTTCCGATAAGCAATGTGCCGGAAAGGCCCCCAATCAGGTGGGTTGCGCAGCGCCAGATGTTGTAGCAGCATTCATCCTTGTAAAGACAGATGTGAAGATCGAGCGGGGTAAGTGCAGAGGTCGTTGGAGACGTTGGAGAGTGTATGAGTAGTAAGTACCGTATGTATGAGTACTATTAATTATTGTTATGATTCCTGTTGATAATGTGATGACTTCTTTTGGAGTCCCATAGGACTCCCGTTTAGAGTACCATGTGGTTTAGAGTTTGGGGTTTGGGGTTGAGGGTTTGGGGTTAGGATTTGGGGTATGGGGTCTGGGATTTAGGGTTTGGGGTTTAGGGTTTGGGATTTAGGGTTTGGGGTTTGAGGTTTAGGGTTAAGCTTAAGGCTTTTGGGCCGGATAGGGTCTTGGGGGTTCAGTGTGTGTTAAGTGCTGACTATAGTTACCGTGGGCCGTAGTGTAAACATGGGAGTTCCCGAAAATAGCGGACCCTAATATAGTACCCTAAATAGTAGGACCCTTATTTAAGGACCCCAAAATGAGGTACCCCTATTTTCGGAAGCTCCCATATTGTTGGAAACATTGATCGAGGTACCTGTAACATGCTGTAAACTTACTGTGGTTACTTGAAGCTGCTGCTGAGCATGTGCCGTACGCTCACATCACACCCGAGCACCATACTCAACGTCATGCATGTCGGCAATGCTAAAGAGCAGACTTGCCCTGGACCCCGAATCTGAATCCTAAGTACGATCGCGACTGGAACCACTCCCATACTGGAGGGAGCCCTACCCTTCTCACGGTTTTCTACTTGCGAAGCCATGCGGTTTGGTTGGCTGACAAACTCGACCAAGCTCCACATCACTTGGTCCAAACACAAGCTCCCACCCCCAAACCGCAAACCTTGTGAGGAACCCCTTATAGTATTCCTTGAACCCTGACAGCCTCACATCTGAGCTCAGGTGCAGAAGCCATGCTAGCAACTAGCCGAGGTCTCAGCTTGGCATGCAGCTACTGGTATTGCCCATGCACATGCGCCAAGTTTTCGGGTGCCTTTTTGGCCTAACATCGGAGCAGTAGTATGGCTACGTCATTTTCTTCAACCCCGAATTGAATTAGTTTCCGTATTGTATACTCCTGCTCTGCCTCGTTCTGGGTATTGCCAGGGTAACGTCCCAGGCAACAGCATATGCGTAGAGCGACACCTGTAACCCGTAGCATCGAAGTACACTGGCCATGTATCTCTTGTTACTCCAAGTGTGACAGGCTCTATACCCCAAGCCCCAAACCCTTGACTCTAAACCCTCAACTAAAAACCCTTAACCTTAAGCCTTAAGGGTTCAAACCCTTAGCCCTGCAGTCTTTTCTTACAAGCCCTGAGCCCAAAGAACCCAAACTTCTAAACCCTCAACCCCTCAACCCCTAAACCCTAAACCCCTAAAACCCCTAAAACCCCTAAACCCTAAACCCTAAACCCGTAACCCCTAAACGCTAAACCAGGTGCGAGATCCCCGGGACTGGGGCGGCGACGCTTCAGTCAGAACCAGGCCGCTCCTTCCTTCAGGGCTCCTTTAAGGCCTCCTTGAAGAGATCTATAGGGGGACTATTCGGGTTTAGGATTTGGCGTATGGTTTAGGGTCTGAGGGTTAGGGAAGGTTATTCCTTCGAGTTGCTTATCATAAGTCTATGTCATAAGTATAGTGTATGTGTGTGTATATGTGTATATATATATACACACAAGCTAAAACCCTGTTGTAATCACTCGGCCCCTATACCAAACCCTTATAGTATCCCTAGTAGATCCCCTTCTAAAGGAGCCCTATAAAACTTTTTTCCGCCCCTATCTTCGTAAGAGGGTTTGGGGTCTTGGATTCAGGCTTATGGTCGGGGTGTCTCGGGGCTTCAAATCCAGGTGTTGAAGGACCTAAGTCGTTCAAGATCTTACGGTTTAAGCAGGGGGGAAGGCCCAGTTTCAGGTTGTTTAGGGGTTTGGGGTTGAGGGGTTTGGAGACCCAAACTCCCCAATATTCTAGTACTATCATAGTATCTTCGTATTATTGTAGTACTATTAAAGTATAGTTACAGTACTATCATAGTGTATTGCAGTATTTTTCTAGTATGTTTCGATCAGGGACCAAGGTTGCGAGTAGGCTTGGGAAGACAGCGCTTTGGTTTCTGCAGGCTTGGGGAGTTCTAGCCGCTTCTTGTGCCTTGGACTTGGGGTTGGGGGTTCAGGGTTCCATATATGCTTGGGGCTGTTTGCTTCGCAGCTTTCATATTATTCACACGAAGAAGTTCCAACACTTGGTGCTGCTGGGAACAGGGGTGTAGGCTTTGTTCTATAAACAGGCAAAGCATTCACTGTCCCTTCGCATCAGACATTGTTGAGCTGCCCCCGTGCAGTGTGAGGTGTTCCGGAAACTTAGTGGGTTCCTGACTGGCGCTTCCGATGACAGACGACGTCATGATTTCATACTGCTTCGCACAGACCTAGTAGTCGAGTAGGTAACCTTTAACCTTTTTGGGGTAGTATAGTCCCTACATCATCCCTATATATCCAGAGACTCCAAAACCCCTCAATTAAGGAATATACCTTAAAATATAATAGGGCTCCTATTATAATTTAAGGTATATTCCTTAATTAAGGGGTTTTGGAGGCTCTGGGATCATCGAGGCATACATGCAGCCACCGTCTCGTATCATGCAGAAGCCTTGAGTGGGGTGGGGGCCGTGTGAATGCAATGGCCAGCGAACACAAGATGCTGGAAGAGACCAGGGAGTTTGACTTAACGAAGCCCCGCGACCTCATTGATTTCCTACTACATGCCGACATCCGCCTTGTGCGTTTTGACTACTTGTGGGGGCTTGCGCGAAGCAGACAGCTCTGTCCGCGAAGGCAAGAAGCTGAACATGAAAAGTTCCGAGGTTCTCGCGGTGAGTCCTGCACGGCTTTAGTGACACCCGAAGAACTTAAGACTTTGCGCTTCTTCCCTGGTCCTATTCGCAAGTCGTTCTCTTCAACTGTGGTGGAGGGTTATTTCCAGACGCCTCAGCAGCGGCGCGTCCTTGTTGTTTCGGTCTCACACTGTTGGGAGTCGCAGCAACATGCTGATCCCTGGGGATTTCAACTGCGCTGCTTGACTGACAAGCTTGCCACTCACAGGAACAAGGGCTTTGACATGTGGATCTTTCTGGATTGGATATGCCTGCCGCAATTCAAGCGAACAGCAGCGGAGCAGCAATCCTTCCAGCGTGCCATGAAATCCATGTACGTACTCTATGCACACAGAGCTGTGGCTTGGGTAGAACGCCTTGTCGACCTCACCCCCGACGATGAGAAAGTGAAGTCCCCAAGCACTGTGGATATATACTGCTCAGCAACTGACAAGTTTGAGGCACGTCCTTTCGAAGAGTTGCTCTTGAATCACACGCTGTACCACCAACGGGGTTGGTGTGTTGCGGAAACTCAGTGGATGAGCACAAAAGCCAAAAGCCAACTTGTTTGGCATTGCACCGATGAGCCCAGCCACCTTTCAAGAGCGCGTCCACCAAGGAGAAGCCAAGGCCTCAAAAGGTATGGTATTAAAGTTTACTCACCGGTCTGATGCAGAGCTCGTGATGGAGCTGCAAGAGAAGATCTTTCGGCAGCAAGCGGCGACGCGGATCTTGCTGGTCGCAAGTCACCTCCCGCTGCACGAAGTGTCACTCCTCTGCGAATCATTGCCTTGCTTCGAGTCCCTGTACACGTTGTGCCTCTCTGACAGTGAGGCGGCTATCGTTGAAACTGGATGGATACTCAAAACACGGGATCCTGAACAAAGAAATCCCATGGTCCCGTGGCTTACCTCCAAGCCCTCAACCCAAACCCATAAGCAACGGACACTGAGGCCCTAAACTACCCGATAACTGTCAGAAGCCTGCTACTGTTGATGATATAAATCCTGCATTACCTTAACTACCCTAAACTATGGGAGCTATAGTATACTTCCTATTGTGGGTAATGCAGGATGTATATCATCAACCGTAGGTGGGAGAGCCTGGGTGCGCGGCCTTGGCCCACGTCTTTGATGAACTTCCCAGGCTACGGAAGGTAGCGCTGGACAGATGTGACGTTGGAGACAAGGGTCTTGCTCCACTGGCAAAGGTTTTCAAGCAGATGGTGTTCCTTTCCCATGTTTCCTTGCAGGGAAACTTAGGGGTACTTAGAAATGATTTTTACTTTTGGTAATTATAATCCCTAAGAAACAGCTAAAATTACAAATTTGCTAGGGTTCTAAGTTCAGTATAGGAAATTGCATTGGAGATGCTGGTGCTGCTGTTCTTGGAAGTGCACTCGGCGGCTCCAATGGCCTAGACTTCGTTGACCTGCGCAAGAACAAGATTTCGAAGGCGGCAAGCAAAGATTTCGCCTCTGCCCTGTGTCCCGAGAGAGGTTTCCGTTGTAGCATGGATGTCCTCGATGGACCTCATGATGGCTACATGTATATATCTGCTGCGGAATTCGAGATGCCGGAGATGAAGGCCCAATTGATGTCAGACACACCGCTCTTAAATCTGTTGGATTATCAGGACCCCTACTTTAAGCGATAGTTCAGGACCACAAGCGTCAGTCCCAAGAGCCGTTCTACGAGCAAGAAAAACTCCACGAGAGCATAGGGAGGTTACCGACGATGTGAGGATTTGGCATGAGGTTTGCAAAGGGCCCTCGATAGTGGTCGCCTCTCAGCAGGTAAACCGTATTTTTTAAAACAATGTTTTTTGTTTAGTATAGGGGTACCTATATCGAAAAGCTGTATAACTGTACATATATATATAGGTATATTAGTATATTACGTACCATCGTGAGGTTTCGGGTTCAAGGCCCAGAGAGCTCGAAGCTTTCGGCATGCATCCTCGCTTTGCAAGGAGGTGCTGAAAGTCTTGAGGATGGTGTTCCCTCACGAATGTTGGGGCCTAGGGTTTCGTGTTTAAAAGGCCCTATAGGGCTTCGGGTGTAGGAGTTTAGGGTTTCGCGTTTTGGCTGTTAGGGTTGTCTTCGTTGGGGTTGAGGGCTGCGGGGAGTTGGGGTCCACGTCTACCAATAAATGATGCTAATAAATCCAATACTTATACGATACTAACAATACTAATACAACTAACAATATTGATTTAGTATAATACAAATAATAAGGATTTGGTGTCGGCATTGTTCTTCGTTTTACGTGCCTGGGGCCAGAGGTTTAGGGGTTTGGGGTGTATGCTCTGGAGTTTTGGTGTTTAGCATGGGGATAAGTTCAGAACCGTGCAGAGACCTCAATCCCGCAATCTACAGGTCTCACATTCGGGATCCCGACCGCCTTTTTGTAAAGCCACTGTTGTCCGCACACAAAGAGTGGGGACGCCGAACCTGAGAGCCTGAAGCTTGAACGGTTTGAACTCCGTTTTTTCTGAAGCCCTGAACTCAGAACCCGAAGCCCAAAACCCTTGACCCTGATACAAAAACCCAAAGAACAAAAGAGGCTTAAACCCTAACGGTAAAACCCAAAGCCTCGAACACTGATGCCCATACCCTAACCCACCCTAAACCCAAAATCCTAACCCACCCTAAACCCTAACCCTAACCTCTTCTTGTGTGCTGGTCAGGCACCGGTGACGGCGTCTCACAGCCCACCAGGCCATGGGCACGGGCAAGGAATAAGGTTCGGGGGTCTAGGGGATGAGGGCGTAAAGGAAAAACCCGCATTGTTGCAGTTATGTTCACAGTCGTTTTGTGCATATGTGCATTGTATGAATGTATGCATGCATGCATGCATGCATCAACACAATTCAATGCATGGTGTGATATGGCATGGCATGGTATGGTATGGGTGGTATGGTACAGGACGGAATGGGACAGTGCGGTAAGGTATGGTATGGTATAGTGTGGCATGGTCTGGTACGGTATGGTCGGGCAGGGATGGCAGGGAAGGTCATGGTATGGGCGTATGTACTCATGTATGGTTTGGTATCGCGTGGCGTGGCATGGCATGGCCTGGTGTGGTTGGCAACGAATGTGATGTAAGGCAATGATGAATTGTTGTAATGCAACATAATACATGTTGTAAAGTATGGAATGCAGTTCAATGTAGTTGAATGTAGTATACTGTGATTTAATGCATTAATGCAGTGCAATGTAATGCAGTGCAATACGGTGCAACTCAATGCACTGCCATGCAATGCAGCGCAGCGCAGTTTTATGTTGCAATGCATGTATTGACTTGCAGCTTGCATGTGCACCACAGTCCCTGCAGAGGCCACTATCGCTTGACGGGTCGCGGGGCAAGCGTCTCACCGCCCGCGCCTCAGAAAAAGCGTCCTTGCACCAGCCGCCTCGCCTCTCTCGTTCCCAATTACTTTAAATATTGAATTCGCAACCGCCGCAACCTACAGCTCAACCCTTCAGTTTTCTTTCTTTTCAGGGTTTAGGGTTCCACTCGCCTGAGCCAATCTCTCGACCCAAAATGCGAAAGCCTTTAACTTCATCCCGATGGTCTGACAAAAAAGGGCCCTGAGTACTTGCCAAACGCAGCGTTTTTTTGTAACCATACTATGTTATACCCAAGAACCATCTTCCAATAATGACGGCCCCTGTATGAAGGGTTAAAATTTGACACCCTTCGCATATCTCACCTTCAACAACTGAAAGCCTGAACCCTTTTAGTCTCCACACAACAAAACTACAAAGCCCTATTGACACTATGAGGCTTGACGCTCAGGGTTTTGACTCTAGGGTCCCGAAACCCTAAGCACCCTCCACCCTGAACCCAAAACCCCAAAACCCCTCACCCTAAAGCTTAAGCTCTTAAACCTTAAACCCTGAATCTTAAACCCTAAACCCTGAACCTTACACCCTAATCCCTACACCCTAAACCTTTTAGGGTTCAGGGCTCTCCCAGGCTCAGCTCGCCTCCGACAGGGGGGGCGACGCCCTCCACGCCGGCGGTGCCCTACGGAGCGACCTGTCGGCTTGAGCCATTGAGGTTTTAGGATACAAGATTCAGGGCCTCGGATTCAGGGATTCCTGGTTGATAGGGTTTATGTTTGAGTTATGGGTGTTTTGGGGTTGAGGGTTTGGGGCCTCAACTTTTGGGGTTGTTCAAGGCGCAGCATTCAGGGTTTAGCGGTTTCGTGGAGTGGAGAGTTTCAGGCGTTGTTAGTCTCACCGGAGACTCCGGTCTCACGTGCCCTGACCTTGAATCCCAAATCCACGGACCGTGGTCCAGGCGGAGCCGTGACCGTGTAGAACCCTTAGAGGAGCCCTCGAAGCAACTCTAAAAGGAACTCTAAGCGTTTGCGCTTTACTCCCTAATCCCCTAAAACCTAAACCCCATACGGACCAGGGCTCTCAAATTCACTCGCCTAGCTCCGAACCCACCTCCCGGAGCTTCGTGCTGAATAGGGTAGAGGGGGGTTTAGGGTTTAGGGTTTAGGGTAGAGGGGGAGTTTAGGGTTTAGGCCAGTTAAGGGGTTACTAATATTTAGGGTTTACAAGTTACTTTCGGGCTAGGAACGAAAACCAGATCAAGCTTAAAAGCCGCTGGACCCTGAGTCCACCGGGCCCCTAAACTCTGCTGCCCTAGCGACACCAAACCGTCCGTCCAAGGCGCCTTCACTTAAACCCTAAACTCTAATGGCTATAAGCCCCGACACCTAAAGCATCCATCCAAAACCCCTGAACTCCTCAACCCTAGACCTGTTAAAGGGACTCTGTTGCACAACTGCATAGTGCCCTAAAGGGCAACCCCTTTGTAGAACCCTAAACGCCTGAGGGGGCGATCACGCCGGCGACCGCACCATGTCACGACGCCGCGACCCGAGAGTTCCAACTCCAAGCCTGACAGTCGGAGCATTCTGTTTTGGGTGTAGGGTAGAGGGGGGTTTAGGGTTTAGGGTAGAGGGGGGTTTAGGGTTTAGGGTAGAGGGGGGTTTAGGGTTTAGGGTAGAGGGGGGTTTAGGGTTTAGGGTAGAGGGTGGTTTAGGGTTTAGGGTAGAGGGGGGTTTAGGGTTTAGAGTAGAGGGGGAGTTTAGGGTTTAGGCCAGTTAAGAGGTTACTACGATGCCGGTTCAGGGTTTGGGGCTTTGGGGGTTTTAGAGCTTGGAGGTTTAGGTTTCAGGTGTCCATTAGTTACTAGGGGGTCACTGTGCATTATTTTCACCAATCTTGTTCGGGCATTCTTTATGCGAGTGATATTTTGGGCAGTAAGCCATTGGTACTGCTAGTGAGCTGGTGTGAGTGTTGCCGGATGTTGCCGGTATTATCAGCTGTTCTTGGCTTTGGCGTCGTTTTCGTGACTATCGTCATTGCTGTCGATGTTGAGATTGTTGTTGCTTGTCATGGGCAGTATGATCTGTACTTGGATGAAGCTGGTGAATGTCATGCTCGTTTTATTATTACTCTCAATATTCTCTGTCGTTTCTCCAGTGCTGTCAGTTAGATTCCTTAAGATAATGACTGTGGTGATGGTGGCGACGGTGATGGTGGTGGTGGTGCTGCTGATTATGAAGATGTAGGAGAAGATGACAGCGGCAACCCGGATCATGAATATACCCGAAGCCCGAGCCCTCAAGCTTCCTTTGTCCTCCCACCCTTCAGGAGCATTCGCCGAACATCCGCATCCGCAGCTATGGCCACATCCCCAGACAGCGTGGCACCGGAGCCATCATCACTCTTCAGGCTCCGGCTTGCATCACCACCGGCAGCAGTGCTCACCCGACGTCAGCACAACCACCAGCCAGCCGCAGCAGCGACGGCAGTACGCATGCTAGTGCTTGGCCAGCGCCAGCAATCCACAGCAGCAGCATCCACGCATCCTCCTCATCGATTCATGCCATGATCGTGGTGCTTGTGCTTTGCGGCAGTTGCTTGTGGGGCTCATGAGCTATTGCCAGGCCGTATGAGTTGGTTGGATATCTGCCTTCCCGGCTTCCTTCAGTAATCGGAGGTTCATGTCATCATCAGCCTCCTCCTCCTCCTCCGCCTCCTCCTCCGCCACATCCTCCACCTCCTCGAGCTCATCATCATCGCCAATATCGTCATCACCATGCAGCATTACCATCATCTCCCCAAGCTGAGGTTCTGCGAGCTCTTTGCACCATGGGCCCAAACCCAAGCTTTGTCTCAGGGTTCCGGGGGTTTCAGGATCCATGCTTACTGCGGGTGTTTCGGATCTTGGGCTGCTTTGTTGAGGGATTAGGGTTTAGGGTTTAGGGATTAGGGCGTCTCGCCGCGCAGCGGCAGTATTTTCTATGTAGGATGGCGCCCCAACACTCCCAGGGGTGTGGGGGGGCGGCATATCGACGTCTAGCGTTCGAATGCGATTCCACCACTAAACAATTACACATTGGTTCCTCACCTTTTCCCACCCGCTGTGAGAATACACAGGCTACCACCCAAAACATTGCCTTTTAGGGTTTAGTGCTTACGCCCTCAATTCCCACCTGCCCGGTCTGTCTGTTGGGCCGCACCTACACACGCCACAAAACAGAGCGGGTCAGGTCAGGGGTGAGGGAGAGGCCAGGGGAGGGTCAGGGGGGCCAGGAAGGGGCAAGGGGGGGCCAGGGGGCCAGGGGGG